AGGAGAGCGCTGGGAAACTTGGGTGGAATTGCTGGGGTAGGGCAGGTTTACTCCCCTGCCCCGCGTGCTGCTCTGTGTGTGTGTTTGCTTTCCTCTGATCCCCCGTGCTCCAAGCCTCGCCTTCTCCTACCCGTGGAAGCAGCGTTCCCCCTCATCCCAGGGGAGCACCCGGTTCAGTGTCTCCTAACGCCGTGCTGAGCTCCAGGCGTTCAGGGCAAGGGTGGCCGTGGAGGGAAAGCGAACAAAAGCAGCCTGCCTTGGGTTGGAGCCGCTGGTAAGCTCAGCGCTGGGCAAAAGAGGCAGAAAGAAACAGTCCTTCTGAGTTGCAACAAGCACCACCAAAAACCCTTAAGTGATTGCAAGCATAGGCAGTGTTTTAGTTGCTCTGGGGGGATAGGATATTTGTGTTTCCTCAGAGAATTCATAAGGCTGAAATCCAGTCTGACCCACTAGAAAATACGAGAGCATGAGTTTATTCTCATCCAGCCCAAGCTTACTAAATTAACACAGGGCGTCATCTTCCAGATGGCAAGTTTGTGCAAGGCAGCTACTCCTATTTCCCATCTTATGCCTTGTAACCTATTGATTTATAACACTTTCAGGAAAACAGGCTATCCTACATTTAAATAGGAAGCTTGGAGCGTGAGGGCAGGGCTTGGGATTGTTGCGTCTTCTAATGATAATAAGTATTTACTTTTTTTGTTAATCCTAAATTGTGGGTCAAAATAATGTACCTCTAGCAAAAGTAAAAATGTCCTTGCAGAACATACAGTGACACTAGTGGCATAAATGCTGTGTATTTTTATTTATGTGGCTTTGGATACTGATGGAGAGGTGGCATCATTCACTGGGCATTGCACTTGCTGGTGTCACATGTTTGACAAATATCTTAGGCTGTCAGACTTAGTCTCCCCTACTTCTAAAAATGAGGATTATGTATCTTAACATGTATCCCCATGTTACGACTGGTGTGTATCGAGATGTTTTGCTAACTGCTTAATTCATTATGACTTCAGTCATATTTCTATGCAAATTCTAATTCTCAAAGGACAGCAGAGCTTAAATGTCATTGTTACATGTCTTCATTTCTTGCTTAGTATTTTAGTGAGTCTGCTACCAGATTTTATTCCCAAAAAGGACAGCAACTGAAAGATAAAAGCATGCACCTAGAAGAGAGTACTGTTGAAAATTGCTTGTCGTCTTGCACATCAAGAAATATTGCTATGTATTTTAATCTAAA